GTGTTATGGGTAATGTCTGAGATTTTACTGCCTATATTTTCCTTTATGATTATTATGGTTTTGGGTCTAACTTTTCAGTCTTTGATCCATTTTGAATTTGTTCTGTGTGTGGTGTAAGAAGGTGGTCTAGTTTCATTTTTATGCATGTACCTGTCCAGTTTGTCCAACACAATTTACTGAATAAACTATCTTTAGCCCATAGTATGAGCTTGCTTCCTTTGTCAAATATTGACTATAAAGGCATGGGGTTGTTTCTGGGCTCTCTATTCTGTTGCATTGATGTGTCTGTTTTTATGCCACTACCATGTTCTTTTGATTATTATGGCCTTATAGAATAGTTTGATATTAGGTAGCATGATTCCTCTATTTTTGTTCTTCTTTCTCAGGATTTCTGTGGCTATATGGGGTCTTTGGGGTTCCATATAAATTTTTGAAATGTTTGTTCTAGGTCTGTGAAATATGTCATTGGAATCTTGATAGGAATTGCATTGATTCTATTGATTGCTTTGGGTAGCATGGACATTTTAATAATTCTTCCTGTCCTTGAACATGGTATGTGCTTCCACTTATTTGTATTTTCTTCAGTTTCTTTCTTCAATGTCTTAAAGTTTTCTGAGCACAGGTGTTTTCTATCGCTGGATAGATTTATTCCTTGGTATTTTATTTTTTTGAAGCAATTGTGAATAGGATTGTTTTCTTAATCTCCCTTTCTGTTAGTTTATTATTGGCATATACAAGTGCAATTGGCTTCTTGATATTAATTTTATATCCTGCTACTTTGCTGAATTCAATGATCAGTTCTGGTATGTTATGGTAGAGTCTTTAGGGTTCTCTGTACAGTAACAGGTCATCTGCAAATAAAGACAGTTTTACCTCTTCCTTTCCAATTTGGATGCCTTTTATTTCTTCTTCTTGTCTGATTGTTGTGGCTCGGACTTCCAGTACTATGTTGAATAAGAGGAATGAAAGCAGACATCCCTGTCTTGTCTCTGATCTTCAGGGGAACACTTGTAGTTTTTGCCTATTGAATAGGGTGCTGGCAGTGAGTTTGTCATATATGGTCTTTATTATGTTTAGGTATGTTCCCTCTATTCTCACTTTCCTGAGAGGTTTTTTTTATCATAAATGTGTGATGTATTTTTTTCACGCGCTTTTTCTGCATCTATTGATATGATCATGTGGTGTTTATCCTTCATTTTGTTATGTGGTGAATCACATTTAATGATTTGCAAATGTTGTACCAAATTTGCATTCCCAGAATAAACCCACTTGATCATTATGTATGATATTTTTGATGCATTGCTGTATTCCGTTTGCTAATATTTTGTTCAGGACTTTAGCACCTATGTTCATCAGGGATATTGGTCTATCATTTTCTTTTTCTGTACTGTCTTTATCTGGTTTTGGAATTAGGATAGTGTTGGTCTTAGAAAATGAGTTTGGAAGCTTTCCCTCCTCCTGAATTTTTTGGAATATTTTGAGGAGGGGAGCTAGTTCTCAGGATGTATGTTAAAATTCACACATCCAGTCTAGGACTTTTTGTTGGGAGTTGTTTTTTTTTTAAATTTCTGTTTCAGTTTCACTAGTTGTCATCTGTCTATTTAGGTTCTCTGATTCTTCCTGATTTGACTTTGGATGTTTGTATGTCTAGGAAGTTATCCATTCCATCCAGGTTTTCCAGTTTATTGGCATATAGTTCTTAATAATATTTACTTACAATCCTCTGTATTTTTTGGTGTCAGTTTTTACTTCTCCTCTTTCATTTCTGATGTTATTTATTTGGTTCCTCTCTCTTTTTTTCTTTATCAGTCTGATTGCAATTGTAGTTTGGTCCTGGGGGAAAGTTTATGCACCTTCCACCCACTCCTCCACCATCTTGGGTTCTTCCATCCCTTTACTTTTAGTCTGCGTGTATCTTTTGATTTGAGGTGAGTATTAGGAGACAGCATATGTATCAGTCTTGTTTTCTTATCCATCCAGCTACCCTATGTCTTTTGATTGGAGAATTTAAGTCATTTACATTTAAAATTATTGGTAGATACATATTTATTGTCATTTTATTTTTTAACTAATTTCCTTTTTCTTTTTCTTTTCCTCCTTCTTGTTCTTCTTAAAGCAAGCTCTTTAACACTTTTTGCAATATTGGTTTGGTGTTAAAAGACTCCTTCAGCTTTTTCTTGTCTGGGAAGCTCTGTATTTCTCCTTCAATTTTAATGATAGCCTTGCTTAGTTAAATAGCCTTGGTTGTAGGTCTTTGCTTTTCATCAGCTTAAATATTTCATGCCAATCTTTTCTGGCCTAAAATGTTTCTGTTAAGTAAGCATATGACAGTTTACTGGGAGTTCCCTTGCAGGTAAGTAATCCCTTTTTTCTTGAGCTTTTAAGAGTCTCTCCTTGTCTTTGAGTTTTGCCATTTTAATTATTATGTGTCTTGGTGTGGGTTTGATCCTTTATTTTTTTTGATTCTCTGAGAGTCCTGGACTTGTGTGTCTTTTTCTTTCACTAGGTTAAGGAAGTTTTTGGTCATCTTTTCTTCAAAGAGGTTCTCAATCCCTTACTCATTCTCTTCTCCTTCTGGTATCCCCATGATGCAGATGTTGTTATGCTTCACGTTATCTAAGATGTTTCTTAAACTCTCCTCATTTTAGAAGTTCTTTTTTCTTTTTCCTGCTTTTACTGTTTTCTGCTACATTGTCTTCCACATTGCTTATTCAGTCCTCTGCTTTTTTCAGCTTACTGTTTATTCCTTCCAGTTTATTATTTATTTAAGATATTCATTCTTTATTTCTGACTTTTTTTATGGTTTCTATATTCCATTTTATGCTTGCTATGTCTTGAGAGTTTTTTTTTCTACTGTTCCTTAACAAATCTCAGCCTCTTTATATATTTTTGGAATTTATAACCTAAACTGAGAAATTATTCTCTTGTGAATATTACTTTATGTTGTATAATTTGAGTAGGATAGTTGCTGTATAAATAGACCTCAAAATATGTAATTATTTTGTTACTGTATTTTTTCTTGTTCATTAAAGACATGGATGAACAGATTGGAGAGGCAGGCCCTTCCACTCAAAACCAGAGAGGAAAACCAACACAGACTCTTCCATCTTTCATATATGACTTTCAGTGCTGGAAGTTTTCTGTTGTTTAGGTAGCTAGAAGAAGAACAATATATGGAGGTGCATGCATGGGAAGTTTATAATTAGTTAGTCCTGAAAGTGGTGGTATACATCACTTCCTTTCACATTCTGTTGGTTGACTCAACTATGTGACACTGCAGTAATTATAGAAAAATACCTGTTAGCTTGGTAACTTGGAACTTGTCTTGTTTGCATAGTTAATCACTTGGTAGTAATAAACTTTCTCCACAGGCTCCTATTCACATTTCTGTGACAGTCCTGTGGCCCTGTCATTATAATTTAATCTTGTGGCATGAGTGGGGCAGTGACATTGGCACAAAGTCCATGCTGGTGGTAAGCTATCCAGTCAACTTTGTGCTGAATTGGCAGGTAAGAAGCAAGCATCAGAACACAATACAGGGCTGCCAGTCAACTTGATCTGAAGTTCCTTCCTTGCTCATCATGGTATTTCTTTTTTGGTGCTTTCTCCTTTGCTTTGCACTCAGTTAAGGATATTCAGAAATCTCATCCAAACTTCTGGCAACTCTCTTCTCTTTATCCTTTTGACTGATGACTTCATAAAGCTCCAGACACTGGGGCAGCTTGCAGACTCTGAGACTTCATTAGTCTCCCTGTCTATTCTTGGCAAGATAAGCAATTCTAGACAAACAGAAAGGCTGCTTGTCTCAGCTGCTGAAGCTTTATGTTTCTTAGGGTTATGTACATCATTGAACTTTTAGCTTTCTTTCCCAGCTCAAGCTTCTGAGCTTGTTCAGATGCCATGTTTTACTTAAGTAATTATTTGAAGTGATGTTGGCATCTCTGTTTATATTCCAATTCCTTGTTTTTATTTTCACCCCACTGGATGTTATTTATTTTTGCCAGGTCATTTCTGTTTCCTTTGATGCCCATGCTCTAAGTGCTGATGAATGGGTTCTTAGCATTAAATCTAAAATATCAGGGGAAAGCAGAAAGATACAAGGAAGGAAGCAGATAGTGCAAAATAAATGAGGTGTTTTGTTGTGAATGAGGAATAGAGGGGTAATGAACCCCACAGATTACATGTGGGAAAGGACGAAGGAATGTAAATAAATCAATGACCGGTAGAACATGGCAGTTACGGAAGTAAGGGCCAGGAAACAATTCCAGTTGTCTAAGTTTGACATACCTGAGAGGCAAATTGGGGTGATGGTTTATATCTTCAAAGGATAAACAAAGAACCTCTTAACTCTGAGGACAGGTCTAGGCCAATATTTTGTGTCAGAAATGCAACCCAGAATTACAGTACTACTTACAAATCAAATGCAAGTGTGTGTGTCTGGAAGAAGATGGTCCATTTCTGCTTTCAGAACCCCAAAGGGGTCCATGATCCATCAATGGCTAAAAGTTGGTGGATTAGAGGGTTCGTGTATCCTGGAAGTAGTTGAAACTATGAAAGAAATGAGATGACTAGGAGTAAGAAGGAGAAAAGCCTAATGCAAAATCAGTGTGGAATGAGTTGTTGTGGAAATCAATGTTTCACTCTGAAGTGAAGTCTGAGTGTCAAGCTTTAAATGTTCAGATAGGAAATTAGGGCTCTATACTATGGAATATGAGAAAATATCTGTTTCCATGTCAAAGTATATGAAGTAGAAAAATAAAAGAATAGTTTCAAATTCCACAAACTTGACTTATATTTTTCAAACTAATGTTCTCTAAGAATGCAGTTTTGCAACAGCACTTTGTTTTGATTTTCTACTCCACTCAAACTGACCTTTTGTTCTACCTCTAAGACATTTTTAGACATCACCAAATACAAGCCTAGGCTAGTACCTAAAGGCATAATAAATAATAATATTTCTATTTTTTCAAGGCACTAACACCTATTTTTGTTCCTGCTAGCAAAACTGCTGAGTTCTTGAGCAGACTGGAGACAGAGTCGCCAAGCAGAAGTACCTGTCAAGCTGCTCGTCATGACCCACCATCTTCAGCTTGGGTAGGTGGAATGCCATGCTAGGCGTGCTGGTCATTGTCAAAAGAGGTGTTTAGTAAATGAAGATTAAATGCATAGGGTGACCTGTACAACATAGAATATTGGAACTAAAGGCAGATGTCCTAATCTGAAACTTTAATTGCTGCTTCCGCTGTAAAACAATGTTTGTACCTGTTGCCTGTATTACGGGCACCTGGACTAAATAAATATCTGCCTCAGAAAAGCCTGTGATCTCACCCAGTCATCCAACCATCTATCCATCCTGCCTGTAAAGACCTTAGTCAAGTGAAGGAGAAAACCGTAGTTATAAGGCAAAGTAGTAAGCGTAGAGCATATAGTAATTAGAAAGCTGAAGTTTAAAATATGAGTCAATGCAGTGAAGAGACATTCCAGGTGTCAAATTAAATTTATCAAGACTCAGAAGCAAGTGTTAAGGTATAATGTCAAAGGAAAGCATGGCTTGTGTTAGGAGTTTTGCATAGGAGCAGTTTACAGGAGTGTACCTCTAGAAGAGCTGCAGTCTAGAAGGTGGGAGAGGTAGGCAGGAGCCATAAGGACAGTTCCTCAGTGGGCTCTCTTGGATACTGTAGGATGTTTAGCATTCCTGATCCCTGGGCACAAAATGCTAGTAGCATTCTGTAGACATTGAGACATCCAGAAATGCCTCATAGAGGAAGCTGGTGGTACTCCTGGAGGAACACCACTGAAGTCTGCATCACCTTGGAGAACTCGGACCTCATTCTGTGAGGACCGAAGGTAATGAAAAGTTTTTAACAGGGAAAGTTCAAGGTCAGATTTGTACTTTAGCTGAATCACACTGATAACCATGTAAAGGATGGATCTAAAAGAATTGAAGAGGTAGAGGGCCCTCTAAGACCCTTCTGTATTAGTCTAGGTGAGGAATGATGAAGACTTGAAGGAGGGTCGTGGGTGAGAGGATGGAGATGAGACTGCAGGTCAGAGAGCTGCTAACAAGTGAAATTGGCAGGGCTTAGTTATTGACTGGCTAATTGGGCACAACAAAATAAGTGAAATTAAGGATGCATCTGGGAAAGGGTTGCAGTTCAAAGAAATGTTGAGTTTAAGTTCTAAAATATCGGTGTTTCCAGGATTTGGGCAGGTAAAAAATAAGTTGTTAGGGAAATTTCTTCTTTATCTTCTCCCACCTACCCCCTTTTTCATTAGTGGCCACATTTTTAATATGTCAGGAAGACATTATGATACTCTATGGGAAAAGATCATTTGTTTTTCCTGCTGCTAATGTGATAGTCTAAAGTCTAAACTTGCTACTGTGGACTCCTCAAGTCATGTCAAATCTGTTATTTCGCTCCCCTCATTGCAGGGCTCTGGAGGAAAGGGTTAAGAAGCTATAGTTAGTAGAGTTAAATAATGTGTAGAGACAGTCTTTGCATCTGTCCAGATACCATATGGCAGTGAGAGAGGGGAGGAAAAACAGGAGTTTGATAGCCTTACCAACTGGATGTTTGGCTACTAGGATGGTGTTGCTTTGTGCTTTGAAGCTTCCTGATGCCTATGGTTTGAAACAGCTGGTTGAACTGTGCATGCTTGTTCTGTTGATTTTGGTTTGACTCTTCAGTTTAACAAGATTCTGAATTTTAATACTGTCATAGAAAGTACTAATAATCTCTCCCAGAACTGCATGTTTTGTGGACTGATAGTGCATTAGCCACATGGTCCTTGGCATTATTGATAGAAAATATGAAGCAGGATTAGACACAGGATGGTTCCTTATGGACTGCATTCAATAGCTTTTCTGATTCTGACACCTAACTATTACTAATTGGTTGTGGTATATTTAACTGACTTTTTACCCATATTATATTCTTCTTACTCTGTCTAATACATCTGCATAGAATTCCTCTGGGAATGCTTTGCAGACCCATATAATGCTTAAGGAAATTCAAATATGTACATTGTACTTTTGCAAAGTTATGACACCTGTGGTTTGCCTTAACTATGGTCAATATATGGAACATGAATACTGTGTTGTGATACCCACTTATATGGGATGTAAAGAGCTGTAGGGTTTCAAGTTTTTTAAAGAAACAATTTTAATTTCCTACATAATGCAACATTCCTGAGAAAATTGTTTTTCTTATGCTATTTACACGTGGATCTGTCATGGGCAGACAGGAACTTAATAAATACTATATAATTATGTCAGTGAAAAAGACCATAAGAAAATTCCTTTAGGTGTTACACATAAGGACTTCAGACAAAAGATTGTACACTAAATGGTTTCCAGTCTCTGGTTTGCCAACCATTGCTTCCTCTTCTAGGGAGAATAATAATTGCTAAAATTCTCATTCTGTTGTTACACTGCCCAGTGGCCACCATATCTTCAAGGATAAAGTCAAAATACCTTAGCTTAAGCAAAAAGTGTTATCTGCTCTCTGCTCCCTTCCTCCAAACTCACCTGTCTCTGTAATTATAAAATTAGGTCTTTCCCACTTGGGGACCAGCAGCATGGGCATTACCTGAGAACTTATAGATATGTAGACAGATCTCAAGCCTCACTGCAGACCTAAATCAGAGCCTGCATTTTAACATGGTCTGTGGGTGATTTGTGTGCACATTAATGTTTGAGGGGCACTTCTCAATCATTTATATCTTTATTGCCATATCCTTTCACTTTCACTACTCTAAACACTTACCAAAGCTTGGTTGTTTTAATGTTTCTCCATGTGTCCCTCATATTCTTTAAAAGTCAACACTTAAAGGCATATATCCCTTGCATGCCTTCAATCCCACTTTTACTCCAATGCTTTAAACTCCTTTTATTAATTTCCCATTGCTTATAAAATAAGTAATGGGTATTTAAGGTGTGGCAAGGTGATTATAGTTAATACTATATCACATATTTGAAAGTTGCTAAAGGATAGATCTTAAAAGTTCACACCACAAGAAGAGGTTTTATAACAATGTATGGTGATGGATGGATGTCAATTAGACACTGTATTGATCATTTCACAATAGACACAAATATTGAATTATGTTATAAACCTTAAACAAATATATGTCAATTATACCTCACTAAAAAATTTCCCATTGCTGCTGTAACAAATTACTGTAAATTTATGGCTAAAAACACAAATGTATTCTCTTATGGTTCTGGCGTCAGAAGTCAGAAATGAGTATGAAGGGGCTAAAATTCAGTGTTGGCAGGTCTGGTTCCTTCTGGAGGCTCTCGCAGGGGATCTGTTCCGTGCCTCTTCCAGCATCTCTTGGCCGCCATCATCCTTTTGCTCCTTGGCATGTGGCCATGTCATTCTGATCTCTACTTTCATTCTCCCAACACCTTCTCCACAGTTTTTGACTTTGCCTTTCTCCTTTAAGGACACTTGTGATTATATTGGGCCCACCTGGATCACCCAGGGTCATCTCCTCATCTCAAGATCTTAATTCCTGCAAATTCTCTTTTGCCACATAAGGTAACATTCACAGCTTCCAGGGACTAGGACATGGACATCTTTAGGAGGCCATTATTCATCCCACCATACTTTATCAGCTGTCCCTTCTATTGTTTGACTTCACACACCTGTTAACCTGTATATTGCTATCTTGTGATTAATCAACTTAAGGTCTTAGTAATTTCTGTTCCCTGTTCTCCTAATAAAACTATTCAGTATTTCACCCTTTTTCTCAGTATGACAATATAAATATTTTCTTGCTGCTAAGCCAATTACATTTCCTTTTTTCACAACTTTTTAAAATTTCATTTTATTTTTACATTTTCTTAGTTCCCTTTGAACATTTGACTGCCTTCCCTCAGCTCTTGTGACTGTTTACATAGTACCTCTTCATGCAAATTTCCACACAATTTCCATTTTTTGCCTGTTAGATAGCTTGCCAATGCCAGGTTTCTTTCCTCTTGGAAATGTCCCTTCTGCATCCCTCTTACCTTCTACCTCCCTCTTACCTTCTACCTTAACCTGGACTTGTTGCTCTTTAGGCCTTCTACACAGTTCTTGTTCTGAAATTTTCACAGAATGATTCTCATCCTTGTCTGCACATTGAAATCACCTGGAGGGCTTTAAAATTCACTGGTGCCTGGGTCATACCCTCAGATGTCCTGCTGTATTGGAGCCTGTGCTTCAGGGCTTTTAAAGCCCCCCTGGTAATTCTAATGCTCTGCAAATGATAAGAATCACTGCTGTAAATTCATCTGGGGAATTGTTATTTCCTCCCTATGTTTGGGCCTATGTTTTCTGGGTCTCATTTATATTCTTTTTTTATTTTTATTTCTTTTGTTTTGGTGGAGTATATTATTTAGTAGTTTCTCAAGAGAAGATGCACATTCAGATTCTTACATGTCTGAAATTATCCTTATTCATCTCTTATTCTTAGCTTGCCATTTTCTGTTAAGTATTCCAAAATAAAAATAGTTTTTCTTCAGAATTTTGCATGCATCGCTCTTCTAACCTTGAGTATTGTTTCTGGAGAAATCTAAGGCCATCTAAGTATCAGTCCTTATATGAGGATTTATCCCTGCTTCCCCTGGAAATACTTTAATATCTTCTTTTTTCCTGGTATTCTGTAATTTATAGTGATATGCCTTAGTGTGAAGTCATTGTTATTACTTTTCAAAAATAAAGGAAACTCACTTGTAGTTTAGATGATTTTCTTGTGTTATTTCTTTGATTTATTTCTCTTCATTTTCTCTTAATGGAATACTTATTATTAAAATTTTAGGCCTTCTAATTTTATCTTCTTTTTCATAAAAATTATTTTTCTCCTGTAACTTATCTATGAATACTTCCCCCCACTTCCTGCTGTATTGAGTTAGAAAAAAAATCCCAGTCCTTTCCCTCCGGATTGTCTCCTTTACCCACATAACTATCATATTCTCAATACTTCTGACACCAGATGTGTGGATTTTTTTTCTCACACCAAGTAATTTTGTGACTCCAGCTAGGTGCCCTGCAATTTAACTCAGTTGTGACTTTATCTACCTGGGGATGTTGTCAGTTCTACAGGACTGC